TCCTCGCCTTGCCTCTGAGTGATTAGGTTCAGTTGGTTTTCCAGCCATCACCAAAAGCCTTCTGCAACTCTTTGCTCGTGAACAAGAACGGATTGAAGAATCCCAAGGGTGTAAATTCTTGGAGGGTTGTGTTTCTTAAGAGCAACAAGAAAAAAGGCACTGGGAAATGCAGAACCAGCTCAAGCTTTAATTTGTGCAGCCGGGTTCTCTCTCTCCCACCTCCGTCCCTTCAGCATCCCTGATGCAGAAATTAGCACAGGCACTTCCCTAATGTGGGCAGATATTCAGCCCATCTCCCTGGAGTTGTTTATTACCATACATTAAAGAACAATCAAACTCCCCTGGGCTTTACAGGCCTTAATTACCTGCCATAAGATTGTAGGAAAGTCCCACCATTTCATCACAGTTTTAAAAAAAACATATACATATTGCTGCTGTTAGAAAACAACACGGAGGAGGCAAAGCAAAAGAAGCCGCTACGCATCAGAACCCGACAAAGCAAGACTGGAATTAAAGTGAGATTTAGCTTAGGAAGAAGGCAATTAAGGAAGAAGGCAAGATAATCGAGGTGTATGAAGTTAAACAGAGTATGAAAATAGGGGGTGTGCTATTTTGCTGGGGTTCATGCAAAGCTTTCGATCTTTTTACCAATACTGCTAAATTGTTGGAGATCTCAACTTTGGCAAAGGTGTTTCTTCCCTCCATGTGTGGTTCAACAGTGGAACTCATTGCCACATGGTGTCATGGCCACTGTGTTAGATAGCTGTAAAGGGGAAGGGCAGAGATTGGGTCTGCAGGGTGGGTTTCCCCCAGGAAAGCCGGTTTCCTGTACGCACTCCGTATCATCTGTGTACTTAGCAAAACAGCAGCAATCACACCAAAGCCAGATTATAACTCCCATTGATACAAATCTAGACTTTTCCCCCATCCTGCCAGAAGACTGCTGACAGATTTCAAAGCATCCGCTTTGCCATCTGGGCCTGAAAACTAACACTACTAAATTCTTATTCTGTTAACCCGCATCACTGACCTTCCGCATGGTGGACCTCCCTTGGCCTGATCACTTCTCTCTGTCTCCTGCAGATTTTATTCATCTCAAGTTGTATTTCTCCATTTTAAGGGTGTTGTTTTTGACAGGCACTTATCGCTTTCCTATTGGGGGGGGGGAAATTGTACCCTTCCATCCCTTCACTTGGCAGATCAGCTCCTTAACTAGAGGAGTTTAATTCCTTAACTTTTTTTTTGGAGGGGGAGTTACTCAAACCAGAGTTTTATCTGCGGAATGTTCTTCGATTCATTTCATAGCCACCACCTGGAAAAAAATTGGGGAGGCCTGAAAAAGATGAAAAAGGGCTTTCTTTCCTGTCTGATATCCTTCCCTCTGAGTGCTAATGGTGGAAATTAGCTGCCCTGAGAAAAGGAAAAGTGAAATCCAATGGCATTTAAGTATTAAATAGAATCCCATTCCTTTGAAAGACAAGAACTCCTGGAAGCCTATGCGGGGGACAGGACTGAAATCTGAAGATTACATCCTGTGGCCAAAATTAAAATTAAAGTCACAGTTGGACTTATTCACGGAATAAGGAGGCACCATCTTATCCATTACCCTAAGCCTCCATTGGAATTGTATTCCAAGATTTGCATAAAGAAGTCATGATAACAAAGTTTTTTGGGTTCCTGTCTCCAACCTGGGGTTTTCCTTTCTTCCACAGCATCCTGACATATGGGGCATCTTCACCAAACTGTCCACTCTCGCCCCCAGATCTCTTGATGATCCCTTTAGAGATTATTGAGATGAGGGACCGAGTGAAGTCCTCCTTATTCGCCCTCAGACTTCTTAAACAGTGCCTGCACTCTTGCTGGGTCAGTCCAGTTTTTAGTTCAAGACAGTAATTGGGCTGTTAGCTTTCAGTGAAGTTTGTCTTCGGCCATAAAGTTTGGTTGCAATATTTTTTTATTACAGTCCATTTTGCTAAGCGGTACCATTTTATTCTGTTTGCCTTGCTCTGCAGGCTGCCCAGAGAATACATGCTGGTGGGTAGCCATATAAATACAATCAGTCAGGACAAAAAGCTCAAAGAGGGTAATTTGCTAGGGAAAATTAGTTGTAATTAACCATTTCTTTCACATAACACAAAAAAGCCACCCCCTTTATAGAATGTCACTCTTGGTTTGAGTTTACATAGCGGGCTAAGCCATGATATGGCTTTTGGGTTTGGGCTCTGTCTGGCATGTATCCAGCTACCTTATAAAATAAACTTTGGCTTAACACCCAGTAAAAGCCCTGCCAATGCAGACTGTAAAACAAGCCACGGCTGACCAAGATGAGCTTCCTCTGAAAAAAAATAAGCCAAAAATCTGGCTGTTCCTGATAATTAGGGAACGCAGAAGAACATTATTTGTGTCTCATATAGCCAATCGGTCAGGGAAAGCAGGCAAAAAGGGGTGGGTGGGGGATCAGAAACCACATTGGCTATTTTCTAAATGTCTGAATTTCCCAAGCTGTAAGTGCAGGCAAATCTAAAAACCAACGAAATGTCAATCTGTTTATTTTGTTTCAACACTGACCCTTTCTTGACAAGGGGGCAGAATTTGAAGCCTCGCGCTCTGCAGCAAAGACATGCAACGTTTCATTCTGCTTCTTTTTTTCCCCAACCCCACTCCTCTCTTCCCTTACAGCAAAGAAAATGTTGCTGCCCAAGCAGACATTATAACGTAACAGGCAGTGGGTGGTATTTGATTGGCATTATCCATCAATCTAAATAAAATTGAATCAAGGGTTCTTTCGCTAGGGCTCGGCCGAGTTGATTGGGCCAGCCTGCTCAGGAACATGGCCCTCAGTGTGGACCCTCATCCTAGAAACCATGATCTCAGCCTAGATCTGCAGAAGAAAAATGATCTGTACGAGCTCTTCTAGGGACTGATTCAATGTGCACCCCACAGATTAATAGAGATTCCCTCCAGACTTACAATGTTGTGAGGAGGCAGTTTCCTGGTGTGGAGTGGGCTGGTTTTAGAGGGGAAGGGTTGGCTCTGAAGTTCATCGTCTCCAGCACTCTGCTTTGGGATCCATGGGGTGTGAGTATTTAGTCCGGATGGTTCATTTATGGCGCACCTTTGGCTCTGGTGTGATGCCAACAGCCACCCCAATTCTCTGGGTGAGCCCCAGAGGCAGAACCTTCTTGGGGACGGTTCCTCCATTTTGGAAGAGCCCTCCATTGCTCACCTCCATAAGCTCTAGCTCTTTCTTGGACTAGCAACCCCTTGGTTTCAATGACCATTTCAAGGGCAGAGGCTTTTAATTAAGGATTTGACTGGCCTTGAGTTCAGTAGTTCCCAACCAGGAAGTGTGGGGCACCTCCCAGAATTCCCCTCCCAGCATGGCCAATGCCAAAAATACTGGAAATTGAAGTGCACATCTAAAAGGTGCCCAAATTGGGACACATGACTCTATGAGCCACTCTAGCAGAGCCTGTTTCTGCTCTACAAATATAACAAGTAGCTTAGCTGCGCACAGAGATTTTTCCCCTCCTAATTTCTATTTTAGAAGTCTAATCTTTTACTGAGATTATCATCTTAGATGTTTATGGCTCAAGTGAGAGTCAACATGGTGCGGTGCTGAACTAGGATTGGGGAGACCCAGGATTCAAGTCCACCTTCAGCCCCGGAAGCTCAATGGGTGATTTCCAGCCAGTCGGTCTCACTCTCAGCTCAACCTACTCTGCAGGGTTGTTGTTATGGGGCTAAAACAAAGCTCCCCAAATAAGCTGCCTTTAATTCTTGGAGAGGACATTTCATAGGGGTGTGTGTTTGTATAATAGATCATGAAAAGAAATAATACTGGCAATAATAATGATGCAAGCTGCTTTTCAGGTGAGCTGTCCTTCCTCCAACCGTGCAGCCTGGAAAAATTTTAAACAGGCAAAAAATACCACTGGGGAAAAAAAAACCCAAAACACCAACAGTGGAGAGATTTCCACTTACTGATTAGCTCAGAAAGGTTCAAAAGCCATAATGGATAATTAAACTTTTAATCTGACAAGGGCAAGCTCTTTCTGGCAATGACTCAGGATTTAACCGTCAGCCTGAAGATGAAGTAAATGTATGTGGGGGGAAAGGAAGAGAGACAAGCGGCCCCTGGAGCTCTGTCCAAGGCCAGATTAGTGTTCTCCCATCAGCTCTTTGAAGAGATCAGGAAGGTTGATTGAAAGCAGACCAAGGATTATGAGCATCTAACGTGTTCAAATTTCCCCTGTGGCCAATTGCCACGCATTTTGGGCTTTCTTTAAGTCTAAGGGGTTGCCATTTTGAGGAAAGTGGCTTCATATTGAGGCTGGTCAGTGGCCAGCTTTTTAAAGACATCACTGTGAAGCTTCCCCAGAGCTAGGCAAGGTTGGGGCTGCTTAGTACCTGGAAAGGAGACCACCAGAAAAAAATAGGGTTCCCAGAAGGAAGCACCAACATGACTTTGCTGATCAAGGCAGGATAAAATCATCCTCATTACCACCACCACCATCACCATCTCAAAATGCTAAGCAGGATCAGGCCTGGCTAGTATTTGGATGGGAGACTAGCAGGACATTCCAGAGTTCTAGACATGTTTTGGGGGAAGGCAATGGCAGAGCACTTCTGTATCCCATCCAAGAAGAATAGATGGGATGGGTCAAGCTTAACTCAAGGTAGTCTTGGTTTTGGGTAGTACAGGTATTGGATAGGAACACAGCTGGAGGGCTGAGCCTCTCCTTAGAGGCAGAAGGCTGTGGGATCAATCCTGGCCACCTCCAGGGACGACTGAGGGTATTTTGAGCTCAGGAGACTCATGGTGTAACTCAGTGAGGGCACTCCAGCATATAATCCACGCCTCTGGCCCTGTTAAGCACCCTTGCACTGAAAGTGGTCGAATCTTCTCCCAGGGCAACCAACAGAGTCCCCCAAAGATCCCTGGGGGCGATCACCTCCAGGGATCCCACCCTTGACTCGCTTCCTCCGCCTCTTTGCAGGTGCTCCACTCTACCGCCTACTACTGCCAAACCATCCTGGACGACAACAGCTCTTCGGCCTTGATCATCCTCGGCTTTGTTATCATGTCTCCCCTCATTGTGGTGGCCATGGCCCTCTACTGCAGCCTGGCACGCCGTCTGCACCTCTTCCTGTGCTTCCAGCCGTGCGCCCGGGCGGTGTATAAAGGTGTGAAATGGCGGTGGTACGAAGAAGGGGGGCTGTGCGGGTGCGCGAAGGAGTGGAAGCACCAAGTCAAGGCGTGGGTCTAAGCTGATCCTCCCAGCCTCGGTGCGGTTTTGTTATTTTCAGCAGGGACGCCAAGGAGGAGCAGTGACAGTGACCCTACCGCTGTATTTTCTGCAATCTCTTTTTGCTAAGGAGCAGCCAGGCTTCCCTGGATTTCAAGGCAGTCTTGGGCTAGCTGCTTATAGATAATCCCATAGGGGTGTTCCTGTAATTCTTGTTGTGACCTACATAAGGGGTGGGGCCGAAGCCAGTGGTGGGTGGGGCCAGAGCCGAAGTGGGTAGGCACTCCCTTCCACTTTGAAAAAAGGCCATGCTCTCAGTAAGGGGAGATTTCATCATCTGGGCTCTGGCAATGCTTCTGGTTAAGAGCAGGTGCAAGGAAATGTCTGGCTTCCCCACTGCCCCAAAGTACAGCACAGGGGGAAGAGTCTGGACCCCTTTTTCAGTGTAGGCTTTAATCCAAAGTGAGCTTTAAAGACTTATCCAGGTTGGCCAGATTTGCTCCATCCTCATCCCATCCGTCAGCTATAGCAGCTTCCCTGCTTCGTTCCGTGGTGCACCAATGCCACGTCTGGCTCCAAACAAAACTTGTGTTTTGTGGCTTCTGGCTCATTTGATGTGCAGCCCGTGAACGCAATGGCGACTGGAACAGGAGTAGCAAGGCAGGGACACTAAACACCACCCCTACACTCCCAGAGCTGTAAGCGCATTGCGATTCGGCACGGCAAGTTGGTTTCAAAGCGCATCAGGGAGCATCAACGAGGCGGGTTGAAGTCAGCCAAAATGCTTCTTGAATTCCCAAGCCAGCTGCATTTTTGCTCGTTAGAATTGTGGTGCCCTAGTGGGTGGCTCACGATTCTCCTTAAAATGGGGAATGGGGTGCAACTGATAATATGATGTTTGTTTCTGAAAAATGTAATTGTTGGATAAAGAGATACACCCTGTAACGCAGATTGTGAACTCCTCGGAGTGGTGTATCTTAGGCGACCTTCTTCCTGTTGTGTGTAACTCTTCCAACTGCTGTTGTATATTAATATTTTGGGTACACTACAGATGATGCCCGATGCTCTTGTGCTCTCCAGCTAGATATTAAAGTTACTTTTAAAACACGCATGTCCATCGTATTGATCTTTCAGGAAATGTGTGAATGTACCACAGTACCAGAGTGAATGTGCCACACCCAGCAAGCGTTTTGTGGATGGCCACTGTCAACACAATCTTGTCCCTGCCTCCATCTTCAGCATTTCATTTATTTACAGTATTTAATCACATTTTTAACCCGTCCCTTTCTTGAAGTACTCTGATTTCTTTCTCTCTGCCCTGTTTATAACTGCTTTGCTACTCACCTACTGAACTTGGATATATACATTATACATGTGAAAACACACCTGTATTCTGTCTTAACCCTAAATTCCGCTCACCTGAGACACGGATAGAAGGCATCTTCTTCCCAGATCCAAGCCATTTTTCTATTAATGATGCAGACAAACAGTGGTCCTGGTTAAGGAACATCAGTGGAGATTTAATTTGCTCTTTTTATTTCCTGGAGAGAAGTTTTAATACTGTCGATTGAGAAAAATGAATGAGTCAGGCAAGAGCTATTAACCTTCAGTCTCAGAGCCAACTCTTTCAGGGGTGAAATTAAAACAGCTTTCATTTATTTCCTTGATGGGATAAGAGCAGGCTACTGTAAATGTCTTGTTCTTGATCTGGCCTTACGTAGCAGTGTTGGTTTTTTAACCCCTTCTGCTGCCTGAACTGCTGATGTTTTCCAATACCATCCAGAATGGCTTGCTTGCAGTAAGTAACCTTTTGCAAAATCAGAAATTTCAGGACTTCCTGTGCATTTACTGCTTAGAATGATCCATTAATTTAACTCTGTGGCAGTACTTTGGAAGGGCTTACAGCATCACAATACAAATACCCAAATAAATGTTAAAAACAAGCCAGTCTCACCATCATAATCCTATGCATTCCTCCTCAGAAAATCAGGCCCACTGAATCAAATGGTGTTGATATCAAATATTCAGGAGGGTTGAATCCCGCGTCCTACTTTCCATGCCAAAGATCTCATTTTCTATTCGAGCTGGAAAAGATGCCAGTATGAAGACTTGGACAGCAAGGTTGAGACCCGGTTTGTTAAATAAACCACAGCAGCAAGGTTCAGCTGTAGTTGGTAAGCTTAATGCTACAGGGGGAGGAGGGCACATGTGAAATATATGAAACCAAAGAGAAGCCTCATGATTGTTTAGCACATGTTACTGCTGAGTGTAAAGGGTCTAACGCTAAATGGAGCGATGGCCTGACTTGGAGTAAGGGAATTACGGCTTCTTCAAATCTAAGAAGATCATAACCTGAACTACCGGGGCAGAATTCTGCCTCTCTAACCTCAGGATGAGACTCCAGGCAAGGAGCAGGAAATGCAAATCAACTTTCTCCCCCTAGCTGGGTTAATGGGGGAAATTATATTTCCATGGTAACAGTATCCTCTCTGTACCACTGTGTGACAGTAAGTAGCAGGGTCCCCGAGGCAGACACAACTGGACAAAATAAGGTTTATTATTGAGCTTTGGATCTGATTATGATTATGCACCAGCCATTTCTGGTCCATTTGTGAATCCAGTGTGAACACACAAGACAACAAAGTCCTTTTGCTATAGCTTGCTTAATAGGGAAGATAGAACATTGTGTAGACACCCAAAAAGGGGTTAATGGTTTCGGTCAACTGAACTTAGCATGTTGGGTTAACCGAAGATTGTAACATTAAGGTCTGGTACTTCCTGTTTCCGTTGGAAGAGGCAGCCATTCTTTCCCCAGCTGGGCCCAAAGAAGGTCTGTTTTTCTGGTTTATATTAACTTTGGACACTAAGCAGAGGGTTGGGCTAGATGTCCTCTGGAGAACCTTCCCATTCGACAATGTTTCTAAGATCAGCACCACAGGCTGGCAAATGGAGTGGAAAGAGCAGGCCTCATTTCACCTCTCGCATTGGTGCACCGTTCATTAATATTCCGGGAGAGTCTGCCTGCAACATAACTGCCCAGTGCCCTTCAAAGAAATAGACAGCCTTTTTCAACCTCGGCCTCTATTTTTTCCTAACTGGCACTTTGTAAAATTGCACAAACAGATGCTTGATACAACAGAGAAAACCTGGCTGTGTTTTATGACAGAAGGAGGCGGCTGTTTATCTTGGCACTGGAGAAGCAGAACAAGAAGAAAAAAGAAGATGATGACAAATACAAAGGCTTCGCAAGCAAGGGGTGGGGGGCTTAATTTAAATAGATTTGTTCCCCCGGGAGAAAGGCCCAAAGTTGAATGCTTCTAAGCAAGAGGGGTGTGTGTGTGTGTGGATTCCCTTGATAATCACGAACAAGCTTCAAGGAAACTTTACTTTGTTGACCTACCTCAATTCTAGAACCTGATCTAATTCAAAGCAAGAAAAACACTTGTCCATTCTTCCCATTGCCCCCCCAGCACACTTACGCAAGCCACTTATTCTGGCAAGGAAAAACATTGTGCCTGATGTGGAATCTCTTCCCTTTCTGGATTCGGCCCCCGCGTCACTTTCCTACTGAAATCCAGTCCTTTGCCATCTTTTTTTTAAAAAATATGTCTCTGCAGCACTAATTTATTCTCTCCCACTCGGTTTTGCAAGAGTGTGTTTATAAATAAACCACGCTAAACTCTCTGATGTTGCTAATACCTGTGAGTGCAAGTTTTGAATCTAGTGACTTGGATTTTAGTTTTATGCCAAATTGAAACGGGCTCGATCAAAATGATGAGGTGTGTGATTCAGGCACAGAGCATTCAGATGCAAAAATGCCCAGATTGGAGGCTGTGAGACATAGTAAAAATATATGCCCATTCAGAGCAAAAGCAAAATGGGATTGCCATCACTCAGAATTGGATTTCCAGCCACTTGGTTCAAACCCTTTTGGAACACACCTTCTCTAACATAATAAAAGGCTGCGAAGGCTCTTGTACTGACCTGGATGTGAACACTAGAAAATTTATTACAAATATATACAATATTCACAGTGCTTTAGGGAAAGGGAGCAGACTAATCAAGATTCTGAATTTTAGGGAGGGAGAAGAAAGGGGAGGGAATAATTACAAAGGTGTCCAGATACATTAAAATAAGGTTTTGCATGTGAAGCTGTGACACCAATGAGAAGACACAACAGTTGGGGGATAGAAGAACAGAGTAAACTGAGTTTGACTGTGTTCTTATAGAGCAAAATATAGTGTCTAAGGTTCATGCACTATACAAACCAGGATCTGCTTTACCTGAGAAATCACTCACAAGGCCATGTTCATGCATCTAACTAAATCTTGAACTCTGATTTATAAATCACAATGACTGGATTTGCAAAGCACCCTAAACCTAGAATAAATACATCTACGACAGTTTAGAGGGCTGCGCACACCCCAGCAGAGCAGGGGTCATGCATGGATTCCTCTCTCTTAGTTCTCCCGAAGGGAGCAGAAATCTCAACCCACAGAAATACAACAAAACTACATCTGGATGGCATTATGACACATATTCCCTACTTGGTAGGGATTATCTCTGGAAAAACCGAAGAGCTGTGGCTAAATTTAAGTAATTTCATCTTGAACCGGGCCTCTCACATGCACCGCAGAACTTAATTGAATTTATATTTTTATGCAGACTTACCCCTTGACACTTCTGGAACCTACGGATGCACCAGAATGCAGTTATCCACCCAAAACCATCATTGGGAGATTTTCCGATGCAATCTGCAGCTAAAGAAAAATGCATTTGTCCAGCATCCCCAAAATGCCTATCTCAGGGTAAAAAAGATACGTAAGACATTATCGATTTCTAGGTGGATTAAGGGGGAAAAAAAAAAAGATTCCCAAAGTGTTACAGAAACTTGTTAAGAACAAAGTAGCAACAGCAAAGCTAAAATCAGCAAGACAAAGGAAATGGAGAGTTTCCCCTTGTCTTGCTACAATTTCCTCCATATGAAATATGGTAGCGGCCTGGACAGCTGCATTCACATG